GACGGGGTTTCACCATGTTGACCAGGATGGTCTCGATCTCTTGACCTTGTGATCCACCCGCCTCGGCCTCCCAAAGTGCTGGGATTACAGGCTTGAGCCACCGCGCCCGGCCTTTTTTTTTTTTTTTTTTTAATGAGACGGAGTTTTGCTTCTGTTGCCCAGGCTGGAGTGCAGTGGTGTGGTCTCAGTTCACTGGAACCTCCGCCTCTGGGGTTCAAGCAATTCTCCTGCCTCAGCCTCCTGAGTTGCTGGAATTACAGGTGCTGGCAACCATGCCTGACTCATTTTTTGGTATTTTTAGTAGAGGCAGAGTTTCACCATGTTAAGTAGCCTGGTCTTGAGCTTCTGACATCAGGTGATCTGCCTGCCACAGCCTCCCAAAGTGCTGGGATTACAGGCGTAAGCCACTACGCCTGGCCCTCTTCTGACTCTTGTCTAGAAGAATATTTTTTCTTCCTTTTAAGAGCTCTCTTTTTTTTTCCAGTAAGTTAATCCTAATAAAATGAACAGAGCCATTCTACTCATGACCAACAATTTTAAGGGATGAGCTAATCATATAAGAGAAAGGAAGCTCATAGTTTTGAATCATTTAAACTAAAAATAATTTTCTTTTTCTACTGCAGTGTGTTTATGATGGGGAAAAATTGAATTAAAAGCACATAATAAGCAAAGATTATATAAATAACAGTTATGTGGTAGTCCTCATAATCAGAACCCATACTGAAATCTGGGTATAGGAGGGTTTATATTAGTGTCCCTACTTTGAGTGTCCTTGAAATTTTTCATCATGAAAAATGTAAAAGACACATAATCCTGTCACCCAGAAGTGATTATTTTTGAGATTTTTTTTTAGACTGTAAAAACCATGTTGTTTATGTCTGAAAAGACCTATAAAATCCATTTCTCAATGACAGGATTATGTGTCTTTTATTTTTATTTTTTCTTTTGAAACAGCCTCTGTTGCCCAGGCTGAAGTGTAGTGGCACAATCTTGGCTCAGTACAACCTCTGCCTCTCAGGTTCAAGGGATTCTCCTGCCTCAGCCTCCCCCGTAGCTGGGACGATAGGCACCTGCCACCACTCCTGGCTAATTTTTGTATTTTTGGTAGAGATGAGGTTTCACCATTTTGTCCAGGATGGTCACTAATTCCTGACCTTGTGATCCACCCGCCTCAGCCTCCCAAAGTGCTGGGATTACAGGCATGAGCCACTGCGCCTGGCCCTTTTTTTTTTTTTTTTTTTTTCTATGAAAAGTTTTTTTAAGTGAAATAAAGCTTTATACATTTTCAGTATAGCAAAATAAACTTCCCTAAGATTTGAGGTGAAATAAAAGAACTAATGTTCTCACTCTCCAAATGAATGTTTTTCAAATTATGCTTAAAGAGGAATTAATTATCTTAAAATGGACTAATTGGGCATTTCTCAAGTTATGGAGAATGAATTTTAAAAGGTTAATGGACAAAATGTTCTCAAGTTGAATTTTTCTTAAAAATTTGGTGCCTACTCAAAAGTGCATGAACAAGTATGAAAATCAAAAGGTATGTCGTAGGGCTTAATTCAAAAGCTCATGTGATCATAGGATTTGAGAGTCTCACTATATAAGCATATTGTAACTGCCCAATGTTCTTCTTGCCCGCTGCCCAGATAGAGCTGATTTATCAATACAGGAGAATTACAATAAGGAGTTTATGTAGAGCTGGCTAAATGGGAGAGCAGAGTTTTATTATTGCTCAAATCAGCAGAGGCTAGGGTTTATCAAGGATCTTTTGGTAGGGTGGGATCTAGGGAATGGTTTGCTACTGATTGGTTGGGGATGTAGTTACAGAGGTGGGGGGGCCACAGGACCAGTTGGAGTCATCCAAACTACCAAAGTCTGTAAAGACATCTTAAGAGGCCTTTTTTTTAGGTTCTACAATAGTGATATTATTTACAGGAGTAATTGGGGAAGTTACAAATTTGTGACTGCCAGAACAATGGCTGGTTAACACTTACCTACATTTTAGCAGAATTCGGGCCCCTCTCATAATCTTAACCTTGTAGTCTTTCATTAGTTTTGCAAAAGTGATTTAGTTTTGGGAAGGGCTATTATCATTCTTGCTTTAAGATTATTCTGTAAACTAAATTTTTTCCAAAGTTAGCTTGGGCTGCATCCAAGAATGACCAAAGGCAGTTTGAAGGTTAAAGGCAAGATGGAGCTGGTTAGGTGAGATCTCTTTCACTGTCATAATTTTCTCACTGTTACAATCTTTGCAAAGGTGATTTCAATATTTTCTGCTAATAAATATGTTTTTAAGTGATTCTACAGAGAGCAGATTATTCCATAAAGAGCATCATGATTTACAGGCACTCTTTCTACCTGCACAATTTTTTTTTTTTTTTTTTTTAGACGGAGTTTTGCTCTTGTTACCCAGGCTGGAGTGCAATGGCGCGATCTCGGCTCACCGCAACCTTCGCCTCCTGGGTTCAGGCAATTCTCCTGCCTCAGCCTCCTGAGTAGCTGGGATTACAGGCACGTGCCACCATGCCCAGCTAATTTTTTGTATTTTTAGTAGAGACGGGGTTTCACCATGTTGACCAGGATGGTCTCGATCTCTTGACCTCGTGATCCACCCGCCTCGGCCTCCCAAAGTGCTGGGATTATAGGCGTGAGCCACCGCGCCCGGCCAACTGCACATTTTTTTTTTAAGACACAAGGTCTCTGGGTGAGTGTGGTTGTTCATGCCTGTAATCCCAGCACTTTGGGAGGCTGAGGTGGGAGAATTACTTGAGCCCAGGAGTTGGACAGCAACCTGGGCAACATAGTAAAACACTGTCTCTATTAAAAAATAAAAAAGAGACAAGGTCTTGCTCTGTCATGTAGCCTGGAATGCATTGTTGGGACTTTGGCTTACTGCAGCCTTGACCTCCTGGGCTTAAGTGATCCTCCCATGTCAGCCTCCTGAATAGTGAGGGCTATGGGCATGCTACATGTCTGGCTAATTAAAACAATTTTTTTTTTTTTTTGTAGAAACAGAGTCTTGCGATATTGTTCATGCTGGTCTCAGACTCCTAGTCTCAAGCAACCCTCCTACCTCAGCCTCCTACAGTGCTGGGATTATAGGCATGAGCACTGTGCCTGGCTTCATCCTAAGCATGTTTGAGAACAAGTGTGGAGAATAGTAGAAAAACCAAAAACAGTGATAAGTACAGTAATAGATGTATGTACGGAGTTTTATGACAGCATGGGGCCTAAGGAAGTTTCAGGAAAAGCGTCTGGGAGAATGTAACACCTGAGCAGAATTTAAAGAATGTGAAGTCTAGGGAATAGCACATACAAAGGTACGGAGACAGAAGAGAGCATGACACTTTGGAGTTGCTGCAGAAATTTCAGAGTGATAGAAGGGAAGGATGTTTGTGAATATATGGATGTTAATGAATTTGCTTAACTAGCCAGGGGTCTTCAAGGAAAGGACATAACATAATGCCGTGCTAAGGAATTTGGGCTTTCCTTTTCTTCTATTTTTTTTTTTTTTTTTTTTGATAAAGGGTCCCTTGCTCAACCTGTTGCCCAGGCTGGAGTGCAAGACATGATCGTGGCTCACTGCAGCCTCAACTTCCTGGACTCAAGCAGTCCTCCTGCATCAACCTCCAGAATGGCACATGCTACCACCCCCAGCTATTTTTTTTTTTTTTTTTTTTACCCAGAGTTCTTTTTATTGTTCATAATGACTTAGGAACTAGTACTTATATAATCTCAAGTTCCTGAGGGGCCAGAGATCCCACCATGCAAAATAGCAAATAGACCCAAGACTCGGGGAGAGGCAGTGAGTGCATCAGAAATGGATGGGTACATCTGATCCCCACACTCAGGGGGCTCAGCTTAGTTAGCAGGAGACCTTCAGATTGAGAAAAAAGGCAAGTCTTTTTTGGCCTCTGATATCTGGGAAGGATGGAGGGAGCACGGGAGGCACAGAAAAGGTGTGTGAATCCTGTCCGGCCCGGACGAGGCTGGAGTTGTGCTGCTGGAGAGCTCCAAGCACTGCTCAGAGTGTCAGTCCCCGCTCCTGGAACAGACGTTTTAGAGCCTCTTCCAGCTGCTGGTTTGTTCCCTGAAGCCCCTTCACCACCTGCGCGGCCCACTGGAAGTATTCCTGGACTCGATGTTCTGACCATCCCTCTGGGGTGCAGCGATTCAGGTCCCTCAGATTGTGCAGCTTGTCTGCCAGCTTCACCAGTTTGGCCCCAGGGCTGCTGTGGGGCGCCTGCTCCACCTGCAGCCGCTTTCTCTCGAGCTTGGGCAGAGTCTTGTCATCTGTTACCTCCTCCACCAGGCACCGCACCTGTGCCCCAAAGTGTAGCTCCACCTCATCCAGGGTGGTGTCTGTGTCCTCCACCGTGTCATGGAGCAGGGCTGCCTGTAACACCACAATGTCAGTGATTCCCGCCTCATGGGTCAGGATCCGAGCCACACCGATGGGGTGGTTGATGTAGGGGGTCCCCTCGGGGTCCTTCCGCCGCTGCTGCCGGTGCTTGCGAGCCGCGAAGTCCGCAGCCTCCAGCAGCTGCGCCGCCTCGGAGCCATTTTTTTTTTTTTTTTTAATAGAGATGCAGTCTTGCTATGTTGCCCAGGCTGGTCTTGAGCCACTGAGCTCAAGTAATCCTCCTGCCCTGGCCTCCCAAAGTGCTGGGATTACAGGCATGAGCCACTGCACCTTGAGGGGTTTGTTTGTATGATAAAAACTTGGTGTTGTGGAGGAGCACAAAGCTACAATCCATTGAACCTCTGCCAGTTAAGATGGTGTTGGCTTAGGTGACATCTGATTATTATCTTGGGAAAGTAACTTCTAGATGGCCTTCCAAGTGGTTTTAAAGTGTATCCTTCTGGCTGGGCGTGGTGGCTCACGCCTGTAATACTTTGGGAGACCAAGGCAGGTGGATCACTTGAGGTCAGGAGTTTGAGACCAGCATGGTCAACATGGTGAAACCCTATGTCTACTAAAAATACAAAAATTAGCCAGGCATGGTGGTGGGTGCTTGTAATTCCAGCTACCTGGGAACCTGAGGTAGGAGAATTGCTTGAACCCAAGAGGTGGAGGTTGCAGTGAGCCAAGATGGACCCACTGCACTGCAGCCTGGGTGACAGAGCAAGACTCCATCTGAAAATAAAATAAATTTTAAAAGTGTATCCTTCTATTGACATTTTTAGGTTGATTATGTATATATTGACTAAATTATGAATTAACTTGTTTATCCAAAAAAATAGTGAAAAGTAAGTCACAGTAAATAAATAGTATCAATCTTATAATTCACTTTTTCTTAAGATGTTTCAGCGAAAAAAGTATAAATATTTGCATTACTATTTTTAACCAATATTATAAAACAATTTCTGAATACTAACATCCTAGCATTCTAAAAGTATTTAAAACTATTATTTTTTTAAAAATAGGAAAACGGACGATGTATTACTAAGCTGGAAAACATGGGGTTTCGAGTCGGACAAGGATTGATAGAAAGGTGAGCAGGTTGGATTTGAAAATTTTCTTGCAGGTAGGTTATAAACAAAGATGGTCCATTTCAAAAGATTGCATAAAACTTGAGATATTTTAATTTTAATTCCTGAATGTTATTTCTTCTCTTTACTTCAAAAATTAAACTTTCTTTTTAGATCCAATGCCATTTTCACTCAGTTATTCAAATTTTATGTTTTAATGTTTGAAGAAAATATATATTTTATGTATTTTAGAATTTTTTCCTGAAACTACTGGTATATTAAAGCAACTGTCTGAAATCTTACTGAATTTGCAACTTAAGATCTGCTAGGTTCTTTAACCTGCATAGAATTTTTAAGTACATAGTATTGAAATACAATAGTCTGTGTTTATGCATGTAATTATCTTTCAACTTATAGATCAATTCTTTTTAATATTTCTTTCTGACTACTTGAACAGTTCAACTCTGATTATATTTTATATAACAATGTCATGATCATGCTCATCTCTTTGTTATTTTGTGATTTTTTTTTATGTGCTAGAGAATTGCACCTGAAATTTTGGCTATAATGTTAGACTAATTTGAGGCCTCATAATTTATATAACGTAATGTGAATCCATTGAGATAGGATCATTTTGCCTAGTGCTTATGACTTTATGAGTGTTAATAAATGTTGAGCTAGGTGTGGTAGCTCATGCCTATAATCCCAGCACTTTGGGAGGCCGAGGTGGGAGAATCACTTGAGCTCAGGAGATTCAGACCAGTTAGGGCAACAAAGTGGGACCCCATCTCTTCCAAAAATACAAAAATTAGCTGGGCATGGTGACATGTGCCTGTGCTCTCAGCTGCTAGGGAGGCTAAGGTGGGAGGATGGCTTGTGCCTGGGAGGTAAATAGAGGTTGCAGTGAGCTGAGATCATGCTACTGCACTCTAGCCTGGGCGACAGAGCCAGACCCTGTCAAAGAAAATTAAAGTTAAAAAACCCAATAAATGTTCGGTGCTGTTCTGGCATTTGATAATTAGTCAATAATTTGTCCCTCTTGCTTTCTTTGGAGGATAAATACTGTATTACTTCTAGTTGATCTTTTTAGGTTTACAAAAGATACTGCAAGGTTCAAGGATGAGTTAGATATCATGAAGTTCATTTGTAAAGATTTTTGGACTACGGTATTCAAGAAACAAATCGACAATCTAAGGACAAATCATCAGGTAATTAACTAAGACCTATACTTTTAAGTCATTTAACTTAATATAAATATCATACTTTAGTGACTTGCTTAAAACCTAAAATAATTTCTGGTTAACTTTGGAATATTTTTTATGGTATTAATAAGTTACTAGTTTTTTTTCTTCTATTAGTGTGAAATGAATAAAGACAAAGGGAGAGTTACCAGTAATGATAGCTGTTTCTTTCACCAAATTATATGCTATGTTAAATTTTTTAAAATAGCAAATGTCAGGATGATAATAGCTTTTAGTATGTGGTTCCTTAGTTATTGTCAGTTGGTGGTAATAATATACAGAACCACAAATATATCACCTTTATGTGTTTAGAATCATTTCTTTTTTTGAAGAAGATAATTTGTATTATTTTAATAATTTTTATATACAGAAAACTCAACAGTGTACCTTTAACCCAGTTTGGTGACAAGTTCTTTAGCCTTTGCCTTTTCCTGGTTTTCAATTCAAGCCACAGAGTTGGGACCCAGGACATTGTCTCCCCAGTGACAGTGGATCTTATCATATCTGTCATTGTAATTGGTTCTAATAGCTTCCACCAGCCGAACCTAAGCTCCTTTGTCTTCTGAGTTAACCTTTGTGAAGGCAACAGTGATACAGGTCTTCTTGTGGACTAGATGTCCCAGTCTTGCCTTCCCCTGATAATGCAGTAAGTGACCCCCATTTTACACGACAAGGCATCAGGAAGACAGACAGCTTGATGGGATCCACATTCTGTGTATTCACCACCAGCTGGGCCTTCTTGTTCTCCTCCAAGGTGGTAACAGTGTTAACTCCTGCTCAGAGGACAAGTGGTCTCTTAGTGGGGGACATCCCATTTGCCTGCAGCTTTTTTTTTTTTTTTTTTTTTTTTGTAGAGATGGGGTTTCACCACGTTGGCCAGGCTGGTCTTGAACTCCTGACCTCAGATGATCTGCCCATCTCAGCCTCCCAAAGTGCTGGGATTACAGGTGTGAGCCACCACGCCTAGCTACCTGCAGCTTTCTTTTCAGCCCGGTCCAATAGCTTCTGCTTCTTTTCTTGCCTTGTCTCTGGTCAGTACTTGTGGGCCAGCATAAGCAGCTGAGTAGCTGTTTGGCAGTGCAGGGCCTGGGTGAACTGGTTAATCGTAGGAGGCACTTTCAGCCACTTATAGAGGATGGCTTTCTGCTGGGGCCATTTCACAAACTAAGTGGGGTTCTTTTTGGGTGGATGTCTTGTCCAATGTCAGAATTCTTAGGCCTTTTTTCAAACGGGATTCCTGCTGCTTCTTGACAGCAAGGGCTGGAGCCACCTTCTTCCCCTTGGCCTTTCCTTTTGGCACCTTGGGTGGGAGGAGGAGATCCTTTATAGTCATTTCTAAGGTCTAATTTATAGAGCATATTTTACTCTTAAATAACTCTTGCCTTGTTATTGCTGTCATATTTTCTATTCTTTTTTTTTTTTTTTTTTTTTTTTTTTGAGATGGAGTTTCGCTCTTGTTACCCAGGCTGGAGTGCAATGGCACGATCTCGGCTCACCGCAACCTCCGCCTCCCGGGTTCAGGCAATTCTCCTGCCTCAGCCTCCTGAGTCGCTGGGATTACAGGCACGTGCCACCATGCCCAGCTAATTTTTTGTATTTTTAGTAGAGACGGGGTTTCACCATGTTGACCAGGATGGTCTCGATCTCTTGACCTCGTGATCCACCCGCCTCGGCCTCCCACAGTGCTGGGATTACAGGCTTGAGCCACCGCGCCCGGCCTATATTTTCTATTCTTAAAAGATTTTCTTACTATAAAACTAATGGATTACATAGAAAGCTATTTATTTATTAAAAATTGAAAAAGGAGACAGGATCTCACTGTGTTGCCCAGGCTGATCTCAAGCTCCTGGACTCAAGTAATTCTTTGGCCTCAGTCTCTTGCATAGCTGGGTTTATAGGCATGTACCACCACTCCTAGCTTCGTTAGATTTTATTTTATAAACTTCAAGGAAATAGAGTAGATTTGGAATTTGATTAAGTAAAAAAATTAAAGAGAATAGGATTATTTATTAGTTATTAGTTAATTAGAGACAGAGTCTCAGTGTGTTGCCCACGCTGGTCTTACACTCCTGGGCTCAAGGGATCCTCCTGCCTTGGCCTCCCAGAGTGCTGGGATTATAGGTATGAACCCCTGTGCCTGGCCTAGGATTCATTTTATACCAACTTTAGCTTGGAAATACTTGAATTGCTAATTCAAGGAAATGACTCTTGTTTTTGACTTTCTAGACATGATTTATTATTATATATCAGCTGGCTGGACAAGGTGGCTCATACCTAGAATTGCAGCATTTTGGGAGGCTGAGGCATAAGGATTGCTCGGGCTCAGGAGTTGGAGACCAGACTGAGCAACATACTTTGACCCTGTTTCTACAAAAAAAAAATAATTAAAAAAATTCACCGAGCACATTGGCAGAATCCTGAGGTTTCAGCTGCATGGGAGGAATTCAAGGATACATTGACCTACTGCACTTTCACCTGGATAACAAAGCACTATTCTGTCTCTTAAAGAAATAAGGCCTGGTGTGGCGGCTCACCTCTGTAATCCCAGCACACTGTGAGGCTGAGGCAGGTGGATCACCTGAGGTTAGGAGTTTGAGACCAGTCTGGCCAACATGGTGGAACCCTGTCTACTAAAAATACAAAAATTAGCCATGTGTGGTGGCGCACGCTTATAGTCCCAGCCACTCGGAAGGCTGAGGCAGGAGAATTGCTTGAACCTTGGAGGTGGAGCTTGCAGTGAGCCTAGATCATGCCACTGTACTCTAGCGTGGGCGACAGAGCAAGATTCTGTCTCAAAAAAATTAAAAATAAAAATCAGGCATGGTGACTCATACCTATAATCCCAGCATATTGGGAGGCTGAGGCAGGAGGATCACTTGAGCCCAGGTGTCAGGCATCTGTGATCCCAGCTACTTGGGAGGCTGAGGCAGGAGAATTGCTTGAGCCTGGGAGGCGGAGGTTGCAGTGATCGAGTCACTGCACTTCAGCCTGGGTGACAGATCAAGACTGTTTAAAAAAAAAAAATTAATAAAACTAGGCAGATGTGGTGGTATGCACTTGTGGTCCCAACTACTCAGGAGGCTGAGATAAGAGAATTGCTGAATTGCTCAAACACCCAGGTGTTTGAGGGAGCAGTGAGCTGTGATTGTACTACCACACTCCAGCCTAGGCAACAGAGCGAGAGCTCATCTCTAAATAAATGAATAAACAAAGAGCTTATTTCACGTGGATGTATATTAATGATTCCATTGTACTAGACTATTAGTTTTTAAGGATAGGGACTATTTTTCCTACAGTTTTTGTATCTTTAGTGTATAAAACTGTTCAGTAAATATTAGTGTTATGAAAATACTGAGCTCACAACTCTTCAGTGTGAACATTGCAAAATTCCTTCATTTAAACAAAATTTGACCAGGCTGGGCATGTGGGCTCATGCCTGTAATCCCAGCGCTTTGGAAGGTCAAGTGGGCAGATTGCTTGAGTCCAGGAGTTTGAGACCAGCCTGGGCAACATGCAAAGCCCCATCGCTACAAAAAATATAAAAATTAGCAGAGCATGGTGATGCACACCTGTAGTCCCAGCTACTTGGGAGGCTGAGGTGGGAGGATTGATTGAGCCTGGGAGTTGGAGGCTACAGTGAGCTGTGACTGTGCCACTGCATTCTATCCTGGGCAACCAGAGGAGACCCTGTCTCCAAAGAACAGAAAAAGAAAATCGACCAATAGGAAGGAGACTTTTAATAACTTTAAAAAAACACATAGTTTCATAAGAAATAAAATGATTTGCCAGGCATGGTGCCTGTAATCCCAGCACTTTGGGAAGGTGAGGCAGGTGGATCGTGAGGTCAGGAGTTTGTGACCAGCCTGACCAACATGGTGAAACTCTGTCTCTACTAAAAATGCAAAAATTAACCTGGGGTGGTGCTGCATGCCTGTAATCCCAGCTACTTGGGAGACTGAGGTAGGCGAATCGCTTGAACCAGGGAGGCTGGAGGTTGCGGTGAGCCGAGGGAGTGTCATTGTACTCCAGCCAGGGTGACAGATTGGGACTCCATCTCAAAAAATAGTAATAATAATAATAATAATTTTAAGGACTACTAGTTACATTGACTTTGGATGTTTTTCTATTTTTGGAACAGGGCATCTATGTTCTTCAGGACAACAAATTTCGCCTGCTTACTCAGATGTCTGCTGGAAAACAGTATTTAGAACATGCATCTAAGGTATTTAATGGAATAGAAGGTTGGGGTTTCTGTTAATAGTAGGACTACAGGTAAAAGTTCAATGCTAATCATAACAGACTATTGAACTTAAAATATATTTTAAGTGTTCTTTTTTGTTTAAAGAGTTTTCTGTGAAATGAGAGACATGTCACAATAACATTAATCTTTAGCTAAATAAATAGGCTTACAGTAGCCAATTAAAGAAACACTGGCCGGGCATGGTAGCTCACGCCTGTAATCCCAGCACTTTGGAAGGCCCAGGCAGGTGGATTACCTGAGGTTAGGAGTTTAAGACCAGCTTGGCCAACATGGTGAAACCTCATCTCTACTAAAAATACTAAAATTAGGTTAGCGTGGTGGTGAGCGCCTGCAATCCCAGCTACTCCGGAGGCTGAGGCAGGAGAATCCTTTTAACCTGGGAGGCAGAGGTTGCAGTGAGTTGAGATCGCGCCATCATCGCACTCCAGCCTGGGCTACAAGAGCGAAACTCCATCTCAAAAAAAAAAAAAAAGAGAGAAACACTCTTACTAAATGATAGTGAAATGTAGATGTATGGTAGATTACTTTTTTTTTTTTTTTTTTTTTTTTTTTAAAAAAAATTTTTCTGTGTCATCCAGGCTGGAGTGTAGTGAATGGTACGATCATGGCTTATCTTGACCTTGACCTCCTGGGCTCAAGCGATCCTCTTACCTCAGTCACTCAAGGAGCTGGGACTGCATGTGTGGGCCACCATGGCTGGCTAATTTTTTTAAAACGTTTTGTAGAGATGGGATCCCACAATCTCTTCAAATCCTGGGCTCAAATGATCATCCCACCTCAGCCTTCCAAAGTGTTGGGATTATAGGTATGAGACACTGCATCCGGCCTGATTGCTTATTTTCTGTATTTTTGGAGTATACAGCCTCTAATTTTATGGTTAATGTGTATATTTTCCTTTTTTTTTTGAGACGGAGTCTCGCCCTGTCACCCAGGCTGGAGTACAATGGCGTGATCTCAGCTCACTGCAACCTCCACCTCCCAGGTTCAAGTGATTCTCCTGCCTCAGCCTCTTAAGTAGCTGGGATTACAGGCATACACCACCCCACCTAGCTAATTTTTTGTATCTTTAGTGGAGATGAGGTTTCACCGTGTTGGCTAGGCTGGTCTCAAACTCCTGACCTTGTGATCCACCTGCCTCGGCCTCCCAAAGTTCTGGGATTACAGACGTGAGCCACCGTGCCTGGCATATTTTCTCTTTTTTTACTAACATCTCACTTTAATATTTCTGGTTCTCACTTAACTTTTTGGGATCTTGGTTTCTTCAGCTGTGAAAAGAGTAAGTTGGACCATTTCACTGATTTCTAACTATTTTGAGTTATGGACATCCTTGAGAATTGGAACACCTTTCCCTATAAATACACGTATATACATGGTTTTTCTTTTCTTTTTTTTTTTTTTTTTTTTTTTTAGTTGGGGTATCACAGCAAAATGGTTTTTATTTTCATAGGGGTTACAGGTTCCCAGATTAAGAACTCTTGGGACAAACAATCTTTAAGGCCTGTTCTCTTCCAGCTTAAAATTTCATGACTCAGATCTAATTCCTTAATAGTACTCATTTATGTATATTAATTATGAGATATTTAATGTTATTCATAGATAATGTATATTGAACACGCAATGTAGATGTGGGTAATCAAAAACTCCTTTAAGTACTGATTTTTCAGTCCAGTTCTTGTCATGATTTTTGGGGCTGTAGCTCAGCCCTTTTCCCTTTCTTTGTGTCTGTGTGACATGGTTTCTCAACATCCAAGCTGTTGATATTTTTAACCAGATAATTCTTTGTTGTGGCAAGCTATAAGTCTTAAACAAGTCCAGATTCTTGGTTGTAAATAGAGGAAGGAAACTCTGCTTGTAAGCTAACACAATTGATAAGCTCTAAAAATAGGCAATAACCAGGGGAGGTTAAGGCAGCTAGTTGGATAGCCAAGTCACTCCACAGGATGAGTCCAGTTAGAATCCTGCAGGCAGCATGGACTGTTGACACAAACTACCTTTACTGCCTCCAGAAGTAATTCTGATCTGTTTCTGGCTTGTTTTTGTCACTCTAGATTCACTGTCCTGGATTACTTAATTGGCTGAGTCTAAGTCTTTTTTTGTTTGTTTGTTTTGAGACAGAGTTTTGCACTTATTGCCCAGGCTGGAGTGCAATGGCACGATCTTGGCTCACTGCAACCTCCATCTCCTGGGTTCAAGTGATTCTCCTGCCTCAGCCTCCCGAGTAGCTGGGATTACAGGCGTGTACTACCTCGCCTGGCTAATTTTATATTTTTAGTAGAGACAGGGTTTCTCCATGTTGGTCAGGCTGGTCTCGAACTCCTGACCTCAGGTGATCCACCTGCCCTCCCAAAGTGCTCGGATTACAGGCGGGAGCCATGGCGCCCAGCTTCCTTGGCTGAGCTTCTTAAGTCATTATGTTCATGCTCCCCAGAAACTTCTAGGGAGCTGGAAAATCTAACAATATTTTTCAGTAATTTGAATAGTTCCTCCAAAGTCCTTTTTTTAAAACAGGAATGACTTACTGATAATAAATCATGTCATGTTGTATTTTTCAGTAGCTTTACTATTTTAGTAAATCCTTACTATTTTAATGATTTTTTTTTTCCTTTTAGTATTTAGCATTTACATGTGGCTTAATCAGAGGTGGCTTATCAAACTTGGGAATAAAAAGTATTGTAACAGCCGAAGTGTCTTCAATGCCTGCTTGTAAGTTGAATTCACGTTTCTTACAAATATTTCAGTAATTTGTTTTCAGGTCTGTTTGATTTTTGTTTGTTTGTTTTTGTTTTAACTGAGAGGAAATTTAAAATGCTGAAACTTTCATTTTAGTTTTATCAGTGTAACATTTAGTGTAGTAATATGTTGCATACCATATTCATATTCAGTAATTTTTGAATTAATAATGGACTAAAATCCAAATTTATAAGACAGTTTAGGGGATGATTTATAACTTTTTTAAAGTCAGATATTCTTTTTTATAGAAGATATTCTAAATATGTATACCTGTATAAATATGATTTATGACTTTTTAAAATTCAGGTATATGTATTCAGAATAATATCTTTTGAATGTGTATACCTGTATAAATTTGGATTTATAAGACAATTTAAGGGATGTAATGTTTTAAGATAGCAAATTTCCCTAGAACGTTGAAAATGCCTCCTAGATTCAAGCGATTCTCCTGCCTCAGCCTCCTGAGTAGCTGGGATTACAGGCGCACGCCACGACACCTGGCTAATTTTTGTGTTTTTATGATGGGGTTTCACCATGTTGGTCGGGCTGGTGAAAATGCTATTTTTAAACAATTGTTTAGGACATATCTATTACATGAAGCTAAGTAAAACCAAATAGTCTTTTTTAAATTAATTAATTAATTATTTTTTTTTTAGAGACGGGATTTTGCCATATTGGCCAGGCTGGTCTTGAACTCCTGACCTCCTGTGATCCACCCGCCTTGAATTACAGGCGTGAGCCACTGTGCCTGGCCCCAAATAGTCTTTTATCACTAAATGTCTCCCTAAATGCCTCCCTAAAGATTTTTTCACTAGAGCTACCAACCAAGAAAAAAAAATGGGCTTGAGCCTCATTGCATTTCCTTTCCATTTACAATGATCATTAGCAGTGAAATATTGTACCCAAATGTAGGAATAATAAAGAGAAACAAAAGTGCCTACTCACAAACTAGATAATCATCCCATTAAATAGGATGACTTTATTGAATATTATGAAGAATGTGAAAAGGTTGACATAGTATGTTTCTTGATTGAAACTATTTCCTATATGGAAAATAAAATTGATGTTTAGAATTGTTTTCCTTGTATCTAAAATTAAAGAATTATTATTATTATTCTTTTTTAGGCAAATTTCAGGTGATGATACAGAAGCTGTAGAACATACTGAAATGCAAGGCTTCAACAGTGTAAAGAGATAAATTATTCATGTATAAAGTATTTCAAGTAGTGATGATTTAATTACATTGTTTGATGTTTGTACAGGAGTAAGCATGTATTTTTACCAGTTTACACAGATCAGCTCAAAGGAGATAAAGGGACATTCTGCCATGACATACATTTAACCAAAACTATTCAAAATGAAAACCTGATTTCAGAAAACGAGACACCAAGATGTAGGACTCTTATTTTAAACCTTTTTATTTGGTTAGAGTGTTAATGTATTTGGCTGTAGATAGGCAAAGTTCAGGGTTTGTTGAATTTGCTTGAGAGAAAAGTATGTACCAACAGAATAATTTGTGATAAAAATGAACAAATTTTGATAAAGCATGAATGTTTTATTTTAAAAAGCAAACATACTAAATTTTTTATTTTACTGCTTATAATTTATTAAGAATTTTTACACCTGTATAAGGATTTTGTATATACATTGTGTGTGTATATATATAAACACATATATGACTGCCTAAATTGTTTAGAAATTTAATTTTGTTTTAATAGGTTTCATTCCTCAGAGCTCCATTAATGTAATCAAAATGAAATATAGGTTAGTTTAAATGTGAATTCAGTGACTCTAGGGCCAAAGAATATTAGGTATGTTTGGAAGGAATTTTTGTATTTATTCCTGTTACAGTTTTGACCTTCAACTTCTCTCCCCATGCATGGACATCCTGGTCTAATATCTTTATTCCCTTCTTTACTCTTTTACCTGAACAGAGAGGTGGATAATTGGATTAGTAATTCTTTTTCTTTTTCTTTTTTTTTTTTTTTTTTTTTTTTTTGAGATGGAGTCTTGCTCTGTTGCCAGGTTGGCATACAGTGGTTCAGTCTTGGCTCACTGCAACCTCTGCCTCCCAGGTTCAAGTGATTCTCCAGCCTCAACCTTCCAAGTAGCTGGCATCACAGGCACCTGCCACCATGCCCAGCTAATTCTTATATTTTTAGTAGAGACGGGGTTTCACTGTGTTGGTCAGGTTGGTCTTGAACTCCTGACCTCGTGATCCACCCGCCTCGGTCTCCCAAAGTGCTGGAATTACAGGCGTGAGCCACCGCTCCCTGCCCTTGGATTAGTCATTCTGACATTCTTTGGACTATATTATCTTAGTGGTTTGGGGTCAGTGCTCATTGGATATATCTTTCTTACCACCTCTTCCACATACTTTCTCTTACTTAAATTATCTGGCATAAGCAGATATCCCCAGCTTTTGTTAGAACTTTGCATGTTGATTATAAAAACTGTACTTTGTTTCCCATTTATTTATTACCCTTTTGCATGTGTTTGTGTGACAGAGAACTCTGCAGAAGGGGGTGACTGACACACCAAACACGATGTTTTATTGGGTACTCTGCCATAGAAATGGCTGATTAAGAAGATTAAATAAACCAAACATTATATTAAAAACATGAAATAAGAACTATAAAAATTTACTTTAGGATATTAAAGAAAACTCAGGGCCGGGTGTGGTGGCTCATGCCTGTAATCCAAGCACTTTGGAGGCCAAGGTGGGTGGATCACCTGAGGTCGGGAGTTCAAGACCAGCCTGACCAACACAGTGAAACCCCATCTTAAAAAAAAAAAAAAGAAAAGAAAACTCAGGTTAGAGCATACCATTTTCCTTTCATGGAAGGATGCAGTATTACAAAGATATTTAACTTGATTTATTAAATTCTAGTTATGTGCCCTATAATGATGTTTCAGTCAATGACAGACTACATATATGGCGGTGGTCCCATAAGATTACAATACCATGTTTTTATTTTACCTTTTTTATGTTTATTTTACTTTATTTTATTTTATTTTTGACATGGGAGTCTTACTCTGTTGCCCAGGCTGGAGTGCAGTGACGTGATCTAGGTTCACTGCAACTTCCACCTCCTGGGTTCAAGTGATCCTCCTACCTCAGCCCCTCCAGTAGCTGGGATTACGGGGATACACCACCATGCCTGACTAATTTTTGTATTTTTAGTGAAGACAGGGCTTTGCTATGTTGGCCAGGCTGGTGTCGACCTCCTGACCTCAGGTGGTCCACCCACCTCAGCCTCCCAAGGGCTGGTATTACAGGCGTGAGCCACTGTGCTCAGCCCTTCTTTACATTTAGATATGCAAGTACTTACCATGTTACAGTGTCCTACAGTATTCACTACAGTAATATGCTGTACAGGTTTATAGCCTAGGAGCAATAGGCCATAGCCTAGGTGTATAGTAGGCCATACCATCTAGGTTTCTGTAAGTATACTCTGTGATTGTACAATTTCAAAATTTCCTAATGACACATTTTTCAGAACATACCCCTTTGTTAAGCAATGCATGACTGTAATTCTAATTCTAGCCTGATTTGGGGGAAAGAATTTTAATTTTGAAAAAATAAATTTAGGAAAGTTCCTATCAAATATACAAATATAAAGTTTATTAAGTTAAAAAAGTCATAATGACTCAGGAATAGCTAATGACACAGAAGTGGATCAAAATGGAACACAGTAGAGAACATCAAATAAAACAGGTGTAGGAATTGTGTGTGTGAAAAAGGTGGGTTCAAATAAGTGGGTTTGTTAGACACTCTCATATGCCTACTTGTCAGCCATTTCTTTCTCCCTTCCTTGCAGACAAAGCCTCTTTCTTTCTTTCTTTTCTTTCTTTCTTTCTTTCTTTCTTTCTTTCTTTCTTTCTTTCTATCTTTTTCTTTCTTTCTCTTTCTTTCTTTCTTTTTCTCTTTCTTTCTTTCTCTTTCTTTCTTTCTTTCTTCTTTCTTTTTTCTTTTTCTTTCTTTCTTTCTTTCTTTCTTTTTCTCTTTCTTTCTTTTCTTTTCTTTTCTTTTCTTTTCTTTCTTTCTTCTTTCTTTCTTTCTTTCTTTCTTTCTTTCTTCCTTCCTTCCTTCCTTTCCTTCCTCCCTTCCCTCCCCTTCCCCTTCCCCTTCCCCTTCCCCTTCCCCTTCCCCTTCCCCTTTCCCTTTCCCTTTCCCTTTCCCTTTCCCTTTCCTTTCCTTCTTTTCCTTTCCTTTCCTTTTTCCTTTCCTTTTTCCTTTCCTTTCCTTTCCTTTCCTTTCCTTTCCTTTCCTTTCTTCTCTGTATGGCTGCTTTGTGCTGTAGAATAGGATGCTTCCCTAGTCCAGAGATGGTGAGTGTTGATTAGATTCTATGCCAATCATGGTAATTGGTTTACTTGATCATTTGATGGAATCTCAGCTAATGAGATAAAGGAAATCTGAAAGGCTTTGAAGAAATTTTCTGTTGTTCTTAATTGATAGAAGATGAGAATTGGATTTGCCAGCATCCCTTTTCTGCTTCTCAGTGAAGATAGGTAATATGGATGTTTGAAGCTAATCTGCAGCAGCCTTCTGATGGCCATGAAAGGACAGGTATGGAGATGAAAGCCATCACACTGAGCATAGTGGGATGTAGATAGGAAGCACCTGAATTGTGCTTCTGAATTAACCAATCTGGTAACTGCTTTACCTTTGGACTTTTGGTTATGTGAGATATTCCTTATATTGTTACATTCACTTTGGGTATGTATAATGTTACTTGTAGCCAAAAAGAAACCTCTCTCTTAGTAGAAACAAAGGGAGAGTTAGGTTATTCAAAAATAGTATGGGACAATTGAATATCCCTTTTGGGAGTGGGTGGGGAGAAACTTAAAGATTCATGTGTAAAACAATAAAACCATAAAATACTAAATAACATATGAGAATACTTGTGATTTTGTGCTAGAGAAGGCCTTTCCAACACACAAATGTAGGGACTCATAAAGGAAAATTGTAAAACTAAACAAAAAAACGTAACATCTCTTCAACAAATAGTGTCGGGAAAACTGGAAATCCACATAAAAAGGAATGAAATTGGATTGTTGTCTTAATGCTGTACATAGAAATCAAATTAAATTGGATTGAAGATTTTATTTATTTATTTATTTATTTTTTTTTTTTGAGACGGAGTTTCGCTCTTGTTACCCAGGCTAGAGTGCAATGGCGCGATTTCGGCTCACCACAACCTCTGCCTCCTGGGTTCAGGCAATTCTCCTGCCTCAGCCTCCTGAGTAGCTGGAATTACAGGCAGACACCACCATGCCCAGCTTGGATTGAAGATATAAAAGTAAAATCTGAAACTGTATAATCCTATCAGAAAACATAGGGGAAAAGCTTCATAACATTGGTCTTGGCAATGATCTCTTGGATAAGACACCAAAAGCATAAGCAACAAAAGCTGAAGTAGAAAAGAGGGACTACATCAAACTAAAACGATGCACAGCAAAGGGCAGTGAAAAGGCAACTTAGGAATGGAAGAAAATATTTGCAAACCATATACACTTGGCCTTTCTATCTGATGGTTCAATCAAGAATTCAACCAGCCTTGGTTTGAAATATTTGGAAAAAAAAAAAAAAAAAAAAAGCCGCGCTCAAGCCTATAATCTCAGCACTTTGGGAGGCTGAAGGGGGCGGATCACCTGAGGTCAGGAGTTCAAGACGAGCCTGGGCAACATGGCGAAACCCTGTCTCTACTAAAAATACAAGAATTAGTTGGGTGTGTGGTGGCACTTGCCTGTAGACCAAACTACCTGGGAGGCTGAGGCAGGAGAATTGCTTGGAGGTTGCAGTGAGCCTCAATCGTGCCACTGCACTCCAGCCTGGGTGACAAAGTGAGACTCTGTCTTCAACAAAAACAAAACCAAAGACTATAAAAATAAAAATACACATTTTTAAAATATAGCATAACAGTCATTTATGTAGCATTTACAGTGTGCTAGGTATAAGTAATTTTTTTTTTTTTTTTTTTTTTTTGAGATGGAGTTTTGCTCTTGTTGCCCAGGCTGGAGTGCAATGGCGCGATCTCGGCTCACCGCAACCTCCGCCTCCTGGGTTCGGGCAATTCTCCTGCCTCAGCCTCCTGAGTAGCTGGGATTACAGGCACGCGCCACTATGCCCAGCTAATTTTTTGTATTTTTATTAGAGACGGGGTTTCACCATGTTGACCAGGATGGTCTCGATCTCTTGACCTCGTGATCCACCCGCCTCGGCCTCCCAAAGTGCTGGGATTACAGGCTTGAGCCACCGCGCCCGGCCCCATTTGGTGCATTTTTCGAGTGGCTGGTACTGGTTGTTCCTTTCTATGTTTAGTGCTTCTTTCAGGAGCCCTTGTAAAGCTGGCCTGCTGGTGATGAAATCCCTGAGCAATTGCTTGTTCGTAAAGGATTTTATTTCTCCTTTGCTTATGGAGCTTAGTTTGGCTGGATATGAAATTCTAGGTTGAAAGTTCTTTTCTTTAAGGTGTTGAATACTGGCCCCACTCTCTTCTGGCTTTTAGCGTTTTTGCTGAGCGATCCACTGTGAGTCTGATGGACTTCCCTTTGTAAGTAACCCGACCTTTCTCTCTGGCTGCCCTTAGTATTTTTTCCTTCATTTCAATCCTGTTTAATCTGACAATTATGTGCCTTGTGGCTGCTCTTCTTGAGCATTATCTTTGTGGTTTTCTCTGTATTTCTGGACTTGAATATTGGCCTGCCT